TTCGTGTGTTTCTGATCATCTTTATTCTAGTAACCACTCCAAGCTATGACTCTTACGACTTGTTAACAAATGTACTCGTTTAATCTCCTATTCCTTACATTCGCGCGACACCCATGTTTGAAATATATAAAAGATTAGCATTTACTTCGATAAACACTGATAAACGGTAAAATAAATTCGCTTCGTAACGTGTTACGCTAGTTACTGTAGTTGTAAACGTTACAATATAACCAGTATTATAAATGGAACGATTACAGCTAGCAAAAGGTCGTAATTAACAGCGAAGATTTATCATATTAAAACAGTAAAAAAGATGAGAGAATTTAAGACGGACAACAACCTTATCTCTCTCAACAGCAAAGGTAAAGGACTAGCGGATAAGATAAGGACGTATCGCGAAGGATAAACAGTGGCTCATGACAATGGTAGCCGTGCACCCCGAAGCTTCCGGTTTCGCCCATGAAAATAAAGCATCCCATGCGCTCCTGCGCGACGTTAAGATAACGGCACATTCGTGAACGAGCTCTTATCGTCTGGCTGAAATCAGGAACGAAACAGAGGGAAGAAAAAGTCGATGCGACGCGGCGCGGTGGCTCGAACCGGAGGAAAATCGACCAGGCCACCTTATATTCAAGCGTTCATCATTCTCGATGATCGTAACGTCGATTAATTAAGGATAGAATCCCGTGACCGGAAGTGAATGAGAACCACTCGAAGCGATCTATGTACGTAGGCGTAGTCCCGTGTTTCCAGTTTGTACGACGACTCCTCCGTAATGCTGTCGTCGATAAGAAAAATCTCCCGGAATATCACTATGGTATGGAATACTACCTGGTAGTACTACGATAACACGGGATATGTCGTTTCTATCCGAGGGTGACGAAATCGATCGAGAAATCGGGTTTCATTTGAAAGCGGACGCGAGACAACGAAATGGAATTTTGAGGTTAAGCCCAAGCGTAGGTACGAGAATTCTGCAGACTCGAAATTTAATATTTGACGTCAGTCGAAGGATAGATAGTTAAGGTTACCCGATGCAGAAGCAAGTTCGATTTGATCTGAGCGGAAAGCGCGGTGGTGGGAAGCGCGAAACAAGGGAAATACGTAGTTTCGATTACGTGTGCTCTAAGTTTCGCAGAGCATGCGCCATTAACTTCGACAATCAGCCGAAAACATATAAGAGGAAGGATCGATGGACTATCGCGCAAGAAAAATTCGCTGAACGCGCAACATTCTACGAAATATTTTTCGTGGTTAGTCGACAGCAGGAGGAAGACATCAGGTCACGATGAAAATTGCGCTCGATAAAACACGCTTCCCATTATTTTTGTCTTTCTTTAAACAACTGTCAAAAGAATTTTTATTGCGACACAATGCGCTACTCGAAGAGAAATTTATCTGCCTTGTGTACCGGTTGAATGCTCGCAGACGGTGCATTTCGGTTCATTTATAGGCACAGAATAGGACTTACAGCGTGACAAGCGAGACCCCACTACCCCTATTTAATTCCATATTACCCTTCCTGAAAGGAAAAAAAATGAAAAAAAAGAGGATCCGAGATCCGGTTCGAGGTCGATTCCCTCGACTTACGCGTTCAAGGTTGGAGCGTGTGACATGACCATTAAAACACAATAGATCATTTCGAGCCGGCCGAGCTGCTATATAATTAATTTAATAGAAACGCACGCGAGAATCCACGATTGTCTTCCTTCGTATGCTCGCGCAACGGCTTCCCCGAAATTCGAAACTTGCATATAACGTTTCCCTCTCCAACTTATCGATACCTCAATTTTCGATACATATGTATGTATGCAGCTATATAATAAAATGTCGATCGCTTCCAGCGCCTCCGCTCGTTTCATTTTGCTCGTATAATTGCACATAATTATGCGACATTACGCGTTCCCGATCGGTGAAACGGATCGAATTCTTCCTCCGTTCTCTGTTATACGATCGACTCATATCAAAGCGCCACGAAGTACGTAGTATCCTTATTGCAACATAACACCGGTGTCTCTATAGCCTATGCTTTAATCGTAAACTGAACAACGTTTCATCTATGGAAATACAGTTGTTAGCATTCTTGCTAATTGCTTAAATCTTTTTGCGGTAAATGTAATGCGTACGTAATATAGGGCGCATCATAGGAATTTCAGCGTAATAATCTTTGCGCGGGAAATTCGAACGAGTCACAGAACGTACGTATATACCGGGCGACGATGACGGTATGCGGCAATTGGGAGCGCGAGAGCAATCTGCAGGTCAACTTGCTAGGAAATTCATTTAATAGGGAGGAACGAGACAAGGTGCCGCTACGATTGGTCGAGGACGATTGCATTGGTGTTTCTTTGTCCGTCGTGCGCGCAGGCAGTCGACCCTAGATGGGTTTAAATAGAGAGAACCGAGCAATTTTTTATACACCGACATCCAACGAAGCTACCGCATTGCCTCTTCTTTTTCTTTCGTCCACGAATCTGAGACGAATCAGCAACACTAGCGTGGTGAACCGTTGATGTATCAGAATTTGCTTGGACATGAATTGCGTAACGGAGAGATAGTAAACCGGACAACCGAACCGAAATATCGTTGGTACATCGTGACCTTGCTGCTGTTAAGATTAATCTGCCGTAATAAGTTATCGTGTACCGATTATGTAATTTCGTCGCCAGCCACATCGATAGGCGTTACGTTCCCTCTTTTTTTATTCCTTGTGTTTTCGCGTCGGTAGGAAGACGAGGAATGCCAGTTGCATTGGTATACGCCTCTTCTTGCCAGGGTTGTCGAGCACAGATGCACGCAAAAAGGAGAAGGTGACGAGAAAAAACGACGCGGCGCGCGAGAGAGCGTCGCGAATTCGCAAACACGTTTTCAAGAAGAGCCGCCGTGGCGAGCCTGCCGAGAGCGATCGATAAATTTAATTATGTGCGCCGACTGTTCTTTCACTAACTGTTGGAATTCTCTACGAACAATTCTCAGACTAGTTACGATGTTTCGAGGAGAAACGATAGCAGTGGTCGCATCATTAACGTCACGAATAATGATAAGATAACTAAAGGTGGCTGAAGTAAACACACCTGGAAAGATCTGGCTCGCGATCACCGACCCGTTTATAGTTACGTCATTTCCAAATCTCTGTCTGCAAGCTCATAATTTTGTACAGTGGAATGAGGTTCAAAGGGGGGAGAATAAAAACGAATGTAATTAACTGCAATGGAAGTTACAGTTATGATACGTTATTCCCCTTTTTGACCGAGTGAACGATCTGTCGCGACACGTTCGATTCAATCACGTTTTAATCATTCATTTTTCATAAATACTTACACGTGCCACGTTGCCCACGTTTGATTTATTCTACGATATTACTATAAGAGATATACTATAAGAGCAAATTGGTAGTTCATATTCGTAACACTGCTGGCATAATATGGTTTCGTTCATCTTCTGATTGTTTTTAAGTTTTTTTAGGAGAAGCGTGTTTTGTGTTGCTTCGCAATAACAGTGATAACAGATGTTTTAAAGTTATATAATATCTATGTAATAGATTCATATAATAATCTTTTTTGGTGGCTTTTATATATATATCGGAAATCTAGTAAGACCAATAGGTGTCCTTGTACGTACATGCGTTACAACACGTTACTCGCTGGTACAATACTATTATAATATATTATTGTAATATTTGTATTAGATCATTATTCTTTTATCGTCGAGTTAAACTTTATCACCTTGTTTTGTAATTTTCTATTATGGAAAGTGAAAGAGTTGAGGGGACGATGTTCGTCTGCCCCTTGCGTTTAAGCAATCCATTATCTTAAGAAGAATACAATTATTTTCCTTCTTTGGAAAGCAGAAAACAAAATACACAAGCAAAGATCGTAGGTAGAGATGAAATTTCTTGTATCGAAAAAAATTATTCCAATGTCCAGTCTCCGATTTCATTTACACCTAACATATCGGCATATAGTTAAACCGTTAAGCGTTCGAGTGAAAGTTTGTTGGTAGTACCGAAAAGTCAGAATTTAAAATAAATTGAGGACGGTCCCAAATGTACCGAATAGATTACGGTGAACATTTTCGTTTCAATAGATCTGTGATACGCGACCTACGTAGAAAACATCTAGCAGAATGTCAGGAAGTAGGAAGCCCTTCCTGTCGCGTAACGATTATCTAAGGCATCCTATGTGTCATCCAACGAACCAACAGCAGCATTTTATGTAACACGATTCGTGTAATCGCGATCCTCTTTCGCCGGCGTAACTAACACACAGGGAGGCCTCAAAGATGGCCTCTTCTGTCGGTCGCTTATTAAATTTTATTATGCGTTATTTAAAAACTAGGACCACATTTTTCCACGTTTCTTTCGATCGTTAGTTTGAGAATAGAACAAAGAACAGTTATTTGTACTTACGATAACGACGAATCTCGTAATATTGCAGTGATCTGCTTCGAAAGCCCTCCTGTATCCACGACAAATCCACCACCTGATCCCAAACTTTCGAGATTGGAATACACGTTTCACTAACTGAATCAATTTCACACTTGAATATTTTAATAAAAAATAAACAGACGCTGGGTGTATAATCCAAGAATAACGAAGACACTGTGTCAAAGGAGAGTTCGTAAACAATACGCGAAACACCCGGGTCACCAGAAATTCGATCGGTCGCGATCAGTTGTCGTAAACACTGGCTGCCATGCTCCCTCGGCACCTGTCAATATCAGCGTACATTACTGCCATCTTGCAGCGCCTACATTCATTGTGAATACTAGCGCTATCTACCAGCATTCATATACAATATTTGGTTCAAAACGGTAGTATCTACTGCTGTTTTCGTTTACAGGCGTAATTTCGAGATTCAAGACGATAATAAACAATGTTCAATAATTGAATCAGTTTTTACCTTAAAATATACGTATATAGTTTATTATTGACATCTGAAGCATGTATGTTAGTATCGATACAAAAAGGATTGTCGCATGTTTGATAATAAATAAAAAGGTACGATGAGAAGAATAATTATAGTATGAACATCACATGTCAAAAAGAGAGAGATATACATATAATGTAGCTAAATACTTTCTTACAATTAGAATAAGAATACGTTTTGGAACTATTCGTGTTACGGTAGCAGTAGCGATAAACAGAATGATGCAAAGATGATACGATAATCAATAATAATACTACAATAAATAAGACATGAGTTTACCGGCGAGAAATATGCGAAGATGCGAAAGGGTTACACAAACGCACGATCGATCTAGCACGAAATTCGTAATATCGTATCACGCAAGAATGCCACATTATATCGTTTTCAATCCAAGAACAGAAAGAATGCGAAATAAATATAGATACTTGGTAATCAACGTGGTCGTTAGCGTTCATGTATGATCGATAAAAATGCCAAGCACGTACCGCGAATAGTGGCTATAAACTGCAGTCTTGGTCCAATCGATCGGATGATTAGCGATCGAAAATCGAGAACGACGAATACGAGAATTCATTTGAATGGATTTACTAGTCTCGATATGATCGATTACGGAATTGATAATAAGAATCTTGTCCATTATCATAAGTCGAGTTAGGTATACGATTAACGGGATACTCGTTTCTCGAAATATTTTTCCTCCAGAAAGCGGACACCTCGTATCAAAATTCCGTAAATATTCAAGAAATTTGTCGAATTTGACTTCAAGACGAAAAAATTGTAAAAATATACGATCGAAGTGCAAAAATCGATACTTTCTTTCGATTAAATCGTTCGGTCGTTATAACAGTACCTTACGGGAAGATCGTACTCCTACTTGAAAGAATATGATTCGATCATTTCTTATAATAATTTACGAGTCGTCTTGAAATCGACAGTTTTTGAAAAAATACTTTTTTAAAAACACATTTTCATGAAGATAGAATTTGATCAGGTTAATACAAATAATTCTTAGGTTCTTCAGTCGGTTGCCCGCACACTCCATGGTATTTCTTTGTAACTATGCTTCGACTGCGGCAGTTTTCAATTTCCAAAAAACATTCATTGCTGTAGGTCATGCCGTCGGTGCCGCAAACAGGATCGTAGTAAGGTGGACAGATCTTTTGGCAGCCACGGAACAAGAAACCTTGCACGCACCTCTTCATAGGCACCACGTACACGTGTTTCCTGAAGAAGGTTGTATATGAAAAAAAATAGATCGTCGTCGGTTTCAAGACAATTTCATAGCTATCCAAAATCGAGCTATTCAAGCGATTGTCGAATTTCAAGGACGAGGTATAATTTCAAATACAATTACTAAACACTTACCCGCAATTGTCCCTCTTCATTTCGCATTCGTTACGATAAAGCTTGTTGTCGGAACCACAAACAAACTGCCGCTCTCCACTACAGATCTGGTTGCAGAGCGCAGTAGTGCGACAATGCTGTGCTGGAACTTGAACTACCCTCTGACCGCATGTCTCACGCTGCAGATGGCAAAGGGATCTGAACGCATATGAATACACGTATGACGCATTTGTATACATAGATTTCTCTGAGGAATTAGGGACGTCGAGTGCCGCGAGAATTCTAAGAAATAATTGCTTGATCTAACTGGAAACTGTTGTTAAAAATGTTCATCAATGGCGTAAACAAAAAGCTTAATAACGATGGCTGAAAAGGAAAGAAAAAGATCTATCGAAAGGATGAATTTTTCAATGCGAATGACCATGGTTAAGAAGAATGTCCATTCTTCGTAACTAGCGGCGATTCGTGATTCACACGTCCCTAAAACTCTCAGCCCCGAACGTCCGGGAATCCAAATAACGTTCTTAATCACCGGTAAACGTTGCCGTCGCTTCCACAAACTGGTTCCTCAGGTACCTCGCTGCAATCTTCGGGGCACTGTTCGGTCTCTTTCAAGGTCGTGCACTCTCCGACGTGAGCCAATTGAATACCCTTTCTAAAAAGCAACGGTAACGTCAGGAATCGAACAACTGATCGAGTCGTTACTAATGACTGATGTAACTAATGCGCGTAATGCGAAACTTTAGCAGTAACTGCTTCTCGTTATGTTAATCACACGTCGTTTATCCATTCAATTCTCTTCGAATACGCATTCGAATAGTATATCTCTGGAATGCCAACTTACAAGCAAACCGCCACGTTCAAGTGGCATTGATTCGGATATGTGTTGGCGTCGCTTCCGCAAACTGGATCCACCTCGTTCCCGCATCTTTGCTGCTGTTTCATGCACTTGGTCAAACGAGCTCGACACTTCTCAAAGTCTACCACTGTCACTTTTCTTCTTGCTTGTCTACGAAACAAAACAACAATCATCAAAATTAAACGGAGAAATTATAAATGATCAATGAGAATATTTGGAATTCACGTAAGAGAAACTAACCCGCAATTAAGCATTTGCATTTCACATTCGTTCTTGTATATGCTTCCATCTGATCCGCAGGTCGGAACTTCCGGCTCGCTTTTGCAATCCAAAGGACAGGCGTTCGATTGGCCACCGGACGTCCGTTCCAGCGACACGCAGTACGACATCGGCACTTCGAACACGTGTTTGCTAAACGATTGATATGGTGGTGAGTCTGGTGACGTATAAAAAGCGAACAAGTTCGCTAGTCATTCACAGCGTGGCGAGAAGTCGCGCGCGCCTGCCTCCGATCGAGGACTTTTTCAAGGATGTACTCCTTACCCGCAGTTCTTTGCTCGCATTTTACAGGTATTCGAGTAGAGGATTCCATCGCTACCACAGGCTGGCTTGGCACCGCGCCAACACGATTCACGACAATGTCTCGTGGTTTGACAGTGCTTCTTGTTCGTACGTACTACGCCTTGCCTATGGTCGGGTAACAATGTAACCATTCAATCGAACAAAATCATGGAATGTTGTGCGTATTCTATTCAGCAATAACCAGAACAAAGTCGAGCGTCGTTCCGACCCCTATACAAAAGCACGTACCCACAGGTGAGCAGCTTCATTTGGCATGTAGACTTGTAGACATTGCCATCGCTTCCACAGATCGGACCGTCGAGTGGTGCAAAGTCACAGGAGACCGGGCAGTTCTCCCTGTGTGCGGAGATGTTGTTGCAGGGGCCCAAGTGGGACAGCTCGATGCCGACTCGACAGATTTCGACTCTGAGCATGCACTTGTTGAGATACGTGCGGCCGTCGGTGCCACATACCGGATCCTGATCGCCGGGGCAACGATGCTCGCACTTGCTACCGGACGATCTTAGACAAGCGATCTTCTCCGTGGCCACGGTCACGCCTATGCAATTTGTAAAGTACCGATAATTACCGGTCCCCAGCCGCGCAACCGATCGG